GAATTACACAAAAAACATTTGTGTTTACACTGTTCAATTTTTCTGAGCAGACATTGGAAAATATCATGCAAGATATGACGTTATGCGAAAATAGTCAATCTGACAATAAACACGATAGCAAAATTGAAAAACTTCCATCCAGTAAGTTTTTGCTGTTAATTGGTCATCAATTTCCATTTAAATCATTTATTTTTCTTATCAGAAGAATTCAACAAAAAAATATATAATATATTATTATTTTTACTAGTATTTTTAGTGTCTCATTCAAATGAAAATACATCGAAAGATCCATCCAATGAATTGAGCGAAAATCATGATAATCAATCCATTTCCATGACATCATCCAATATTGTGGGACTTACAAGTCAGAAAAATGATGAAACATCGAAATGTTCTCCAACAAAGGACATCGTTCAAATATTTTCAAATGAAAAAGAAAAATCGCTAGTTGAAATTAAATCGACCATAAAATCAAGTGGAACCACGGCAATGGACTATACGGCAAGCAACGAAATAAAAATATCTGAAGGATTACCCGACGAAATTATGTCGCCGGCATGGTCACCAGTTGAAACGACATCAACTAAACTAAATTCAAAAACAGAAAAACAGCATCCAGCAAAACGTAAACAGACTAGATTGGATGGGATAAGCCTAGGGATAAGCACACGACCTGCCAAACTGGCTGCCAAATGTGCAATATCATCTTCAATGGAGACTTTGCAACCAACTAACTTGCAATCAACGAATGAAGCACTTCGGCCCATTAACTGGCGAATTCCAAAATTAAACCACAATACAACGCCCAAAATCGATCAGATCACAACGACCCTAGCAACCAATGATCTGAGCGTACCTTTTGGGTAAGTACCAATTTATTTTTAATTATTTTCATTTATGGAGTGTACATAAAGTGACAAGTTTTAATAATTCTTTTTAGAAAAATGAATATGAATGGACAGAAAATATGACTACGATGTTCCGAAAGAAATAGAATTGAATGTCGAAAAAGATGTCCGGTCGACAGAGTCCACTTACTTTTCTGGTTTTACTAATCTCATTCATCTGGAAGAAATAGCCCATATTGAAGAGCTTGAATATTTCAACCTTAAGACAGTTACATTGAGAGTGGATGGACTATATGAGGATACACTGTTTGTTGATTTTACTAGCACATTTGTTGATAGATATGAGGTAAATAAAAAGGATCTTACACTAAAGGACTAGCTAAAGGATAGATATATACTAAAAGGATAGCCAATAACGTACATTGTATATTATATCCAAGATGATATCCTAGATGAATTATACCTAGTATCATACACTCACATTGGTTAACATATAAAATAATGTGTTTCTGTGTTTTTCAAGACAAAATTGCTGAATATCGAAAGGCCTTTAAGGATTCGATTATAAAGGATATCGAGATAGAAATTCTTTCCAACAGAAAGTTCCATTTCTTTGGCTCCATTAAAGAAGTTGATGAAACTTCATTAGTTTTAAAAGTGGAAAGTATTTCAAAATTAAAACGCATCATAGGATACGCCTGAAGAAAAATTCAATATAAGTTTTCGAATCAATAGAACCACATTCCAATTGCAACATTTTGCTTTGGAAATGGCCCAAAAAAAACGAACTATTTGACATTTTAATTAATGATGAGCAATATCATTCAGCTACCAATGACCCTAGCAATGACGATGCATCCATTTCATTCAATAACGTAACATTTAATTGCTCACTTTCGATCAATTTGAACAGAGAACAAAAAGCGGCGGTGAAATCGATTATTTCGCCAAATTTTTGCCGAATTCCTTTTATATTATTTGGGCCACCTGGTTAGTAATAAAATATTTATTTTGCTCTCCAAAAGAATAGCTTACTGAATAACCCATTTTTCTCTCTGATAGGTACTGGCAAAACGAAAACCATTGTAGCCGCTATCGTTGAAATTGTCCAAACTACAACGAACTGTATATTAGTATGCGCTGGATCAAATACAGCCTGCGATGAGATAGCTGAAAGGCTAGTGAATATTTTGGACACTGGAATTTATGGATTGTATGCCAAGTCACAAAAAAGCTATACGCTGAGTACAAGAATAAGGAAGATTTGCAATCCAAAAAATGGAAAGTTCCAACTTCCATCGTTAAAAATTTTATACCAGTTTCGAGTGCTAATTTGCACTTTAGCAACAACTGATTTCTTAGCAACATCACGTAATCAAGATCGCGATTTCAATCCAAAGCATTTTTCACATTTATTTATAGACGAAGCTGCATGTATGCAGGAACCATTGTCGTTTATCCCAATCGCAGGTATAATATACTGATATAAAATCTTGGACTATTAAACTATTTATTGAACAATATATTCTTCTTCCATCAAAATAGGCTTATGTTCAACATATCAAAATATTCATTGCAAAATCATTCTATCTGGCGATCCCAAGCAGCTGGATACTGTAATAAAAGCACAAATCGCCAGCAATATGGGATTAAAGAGATCGTGGATGGAAAACTTGTTACAAAAACCTATTTACCAACACCACAATGGTGAATTTAATTACAATTGTATAGTACAACTCACAAAAAATTATAGATCTCATCCGCATATCTTACATTTGGCGAACGATTTATACTACGACAACAAATTGGAACCATTTGCTGGAAAAGAAAATTGCAATATGTTTATTGGAACTGAAATACTGCCGAACCAAGACTTTCCTGTGATATTTCACAACGTCCAAGGTTATTTTTTCAATTAAATAAATTATTTTGTGTTTTTTATCCATTTTAAAAAAATTTAATATTTTTCCAAATTCTGATTAATCCAGGAATTTGTAAATACATTAACAACAGCGCGTTCAATTTGAAAGAAATTGATCTAGTTATGTATTATATCGATAAACTGGCGGATGGTGTATGGAATGGCGAACAAATTCAACAAGAAGACATAGGAGTAATATCTCCATATAAGCAACAATTCAACGCTATTAAAGCCCAATGCGAATCAAAAGGGTATAGCCGCATTCTTATTGGATCTGCTGAAAGTTTTCAAGGACAGGAAAAATCGGTTATTATAATTTCAATTGCTCGAACTAGCGGGAAATTTGAATTCGTCGCTGATCCTAAAGTATGTTTAGTCGAACTTTTATATCGTTTTATATATATTATTAAGATTATTTTCAACTTTTCCTTTCAAATTCTTTTTTTCAGAGAGTCAATGTCATGGTAACACGGGCCAAATGTTTTCTAATAATTATTGGGGATCTTACCTACCTAGACAACGACAAAGATTGGAATAAAATTTTGAATTACTGTAAGGATAACCAATGCTTGATTGGAATGAAGCATCCTCGAATATTACCACCATACTAGTCACCACTGAGCTATCCACTGAGCCACCATAACCATCGGTCTCATTTTTCATGTCTTGTCAAAAGCGACCGAAGTTCTTCTTCTACAAAATACAAATAGTGTTGAAATATTAAATCTTATGTTAAATTCACTCAAACCTAGGCAAAAAACCAACCATAAAGTGTAAATTGAATTGAAAAAAATTGAAATACATCCTTTCTAACATCCTTTTTATTTTGACACTGTTTTTTACTCTCGTGTTTTCGACATCGGTCTCATTTTTGCTGGTATTTTTGTGTGTTGTCAATTAATTGGATGCAACTAAACAAACAATTACAATACTACTAATTTCCTACTAGAGCAAATTCAATTGAAATCATCAAATACTTTTTTATCTATGTTTTTTTGATGAGTAGGAGAAATTCTAGGAGAAATTTTTATGAAACGATCAGTAGAACGCTAGGTTTAACGTGTGCAAAATTACAATATTTTCCAACTAATATATCAAAAACTGAATCATAATATCAATAAATGTTTGCATTTTTCAAGACGCGAAATAAGATGGGGAACTTCTGATGATTTATGGATTTAATTACATTAAAATACATTCGGAATAAAAATTTCTAGACAATAATTTTTTGATCGTAGGATTCCAGCCTCTTTTAACCGTCGGTCTCTTTTTTGACGTCGGTGTATTTTTGACGTTTATTATAAGCAGCAGTCTAGGCAGCAGTGATACATTGAGTTTCTAGTTGAGTTTAAGTACACTAGCTTTTTCGTGTTCAAGGTAAGTTGTTGTGTTTTTTTCTACATTTTTTAAAACATTAATTCATTTTAAAACATCGGGTGTTTTTATGCTAAAAAATTAAAGAAAATCAATGAATTTTTATTAAAATATGTTTATAATTCCTAAAATATAAACATTTTTCTGCTTCATCTGCAATTTTTATCAGAATAATCTAGAAAAAATATAACTGTGTAATGTCAATATTATACATCACCAGGTTTAACATTTGATGCCATGTTAAAGTATACAGGCGTTAAAATTGATCTTTTGACTGATATTGATATGCTAATTTTTATCGAGCGTGGTATTCGAGGAGGCATAACCCATTGCAGCAAACAATATGTAAAGATGAAGATGAATAGATCATTATATAATATTTTTGTTATTATGAAAGTTTTTCAAGAATAAAAGAACGTATATTTATTTGTGATGAATTTGCTTGTTATTATTTTCACATAAAGAATATCTTGTCGAGAAAATTTAAAGAAAAATAATTTTCGAAAAGAAATAATTTTGAAAATTTGGAGCTCTATTAAATAGGACGTTTTACGTAAGAATCAAAAGGAAGAAAGAGATCATATTAATATTAGTTGATAAGTTTTTTTTTTCTCACTTTTTCTGCTTATTTTTTTTTTCTACGACTTTTTCTTGGCATCGTTGTATGTAGTCAGCAAATCGCATCAATCTATTTGGGGTCGAACCAACGCGTTTTGCAAAAGTATCTATATACGTACGAAAAAAAAACAAACAAAATAACATATAACATTCTGAAAATTCTGAAAGGCAACCACTGAAATACATGTGCGATAAATTATTCGATTTTTTATTACCTTTTACAAACTTCATTTTCTTCTTATCGAACTTTTTGTGGACAATTTCATCGTCTGTAAATAGTGCAACCAATAACAAATGGACAAATCGGCAATCGTACAAAATTGAAGAGAATGTCATTGATCCCTGCCATTCGATTAGCATGCGTGCCATGCCCATTTTCAAAATCACATTGTACTCATCGAAACATAGTTTCATGTCTTTCTGCAATTAAATCAATGCGATAAATTATTTATTCATAGCTTATGAAATGGATTTATTTTACGTACGTAAGTGAAGCGATTAGGGAAAATTAACGGAACCAGACTCAAATCATTTTGAATTGATGACATTTCACTTTGTCCTTCGTTTGATTTATCATTTACTTGTACAGTAAGTAAATCACAGAGTCGTGGTTGCAGTTGTGCCAAGTAGGTTGGAATTTGTCCAAGGAAAACATTTGATGATGTGCTAGGTGGCGAAAATATTTGAGTGGTTCCTAAATAACTGGAATCGCTTGCGCTTACTTCTTCATTCTTTATGCGAACAAGTTCAAAGCACCGTCCACGTTATCTTCTGTATTTTGATCAGAATTGCCATTGGTTTCGTACGTTTCTTGCGTCGGCCTTTCATTTGAATTTAACGCATCGTTGATGCCATTATCGATGCTTTGACTTGAATCACCATCATTTTCTCGTTCCAATTCATAGTTATTCAAATCGATGCACTGGGAACCAACTGCATTATGGCCAAACAATACACTGTTTTTTGACCAAGATTTTCATTGTTATCGTACGTTTGTTCAAAGGCTTCAAAGTCGTAACGTACATCCTCTTCTGAACTTTCTTCGTCGTATTCGAAATCCAATATTTCTTGAATTTGGTCAATTTCCCCTTCGGTTGAATCAAAATGCTGGTCATTCATTTCTTCATTTTTGCTGCAATTTCATCTTGAATGGCTTGCTTATTTTCATCCAAAACTACGTGATCATCATCGATTTCTACTGCTTTGAAATATTTTCGTGAGGCAGCTAAATTTTTTTTGTCGCTATAATCGGTTTGCAACATTTGACGCGCTCTTCCACAATACCGTTTGGCTTCATCCTTTGTGTCTATAGATATATTTGAGGTTATGTTAGCTTTGTAATGAATATAATACACACTGAATAACTTACCAAAATATTTACGGATGTATGCGATATAACAACTATCTGAATCTAATTGTTCGTAATAGTTTTTTATCACCAATCCGAAATTGGCTGCTTTACGTTCGTCATGTGAGTAAAATATCTTATATGGGCAACTTCTGCTACAACCTTCGTTCGCGAATTCATGCACTACAATTCCATCGATCCAATGAGCTGGTATGACAAGATTAACAAGCGAATTTTTCAGAGTAACCACTGCAAACATTTTGCAACACCTTACGTACGTTTTTTATTTATTTTTTTTATTCAATTAAGTAAATTGCTAAACTCTTATTAGCTTTGAATTTTTATTTCACTTGAACCGAGCTAAAAGAAACGCACATTTATGACTCAATATGTAAAAGTTGTTGAAAACTTCATTCATAAACGTCACTGATCGAAAGGAGAATTCGTAGTGCATGAATTCATTCATTTATTTTTTGTAGTGCATGAATTCTTTCAATTCTCCTTTCGACTTCATAATCATGGACAGCACTGTTACCTATATTGCCACTTAACTCCATATTTTGTGGCACCATCAAAGATGCAGTCAAACCACGAACCGAATTTTCTTGTGAGCAATCAGCACTAGAATCAGTGTCCTTAGCAGTGTCCATAACCAATGCGTTACTTGATTTTTCACTTTGAGCTGAAAAAAATTATAATTGATTTTCCATTTAGATTGGACACTATCTGCAAATGTATAATCATCCATTTTTTTCATTGACAAATTAAAATTTACTTGGCATTGAATTTTCAGCTCTACACTGAGCGACTGATGTTGAAGTCACGGTACTGGCGCTTATTGCCGTATTTTGTGACACCAACAAAGATCCAACCGAATCCCCATCACCAGCCCAATCATTACATTCATGCGATCAATCAGTGTCCATTGACGGCACGGTTGACGACGTATGGTATGGTTCCTATATGGTAAATATATCTGAAAGTATATGGTTCCGTGTGGTTCCAAAACTTCATAGTTATGGACTTGACATAATACTAGACATAACATACCTGGCATAGAAATTTGAAGTGCTGTTGGTGAGGCTACAGCACCGTCACTTATATTGCCACTTAACGCCATATTTTGTGGCACCATTGAAGATGCAGCCAAACGATGAACCGAATTTTCTTGTGAAAAATCAGCACTAAAATCAGTGTCCATAGTCGATGTGTCTAGCGATGTTTCACTTTGAGCTGAAAAAATTGAATTTCCATTTAGATTGAATCCAAAAATTGAATTACGTTATTGGAAATTAGCTAGGAAGTTAAACTAAAAGTCATAGTCATGGCCTAGGTCATGGCAATACATGTAGCATTAACTGGCGAACCCATCTGGAAAAATGCTATTAAGTGGTTTGAAAACTGTTCCGTTTTAGATGACGTTATTGGTCGCTCAAGCAGCCGCCGCGTATTGTAAAGCATTGGCGCAATGTTTCTTTGCCGTTTTCGATAGGCCATTGCGTCACTGTAGCTCACTGCAAATAAACAAAAATAATTTAAAAAATAATTAATGTTCACAACATTTAGTTGCAAATATGTATTACATTTGAATTTTCGAATGCGGCACTTATACCAGCCTTCGCTCGGAAACTGATTGTTAAAGGTTGCATTGGCATTCGGTTGGTAATTGATTCGCGGCATTCCGTTATGAAAAGCATTACCGTCGTTCGTGTAAAATACTGCAAATGTAAATCCTGGATTTATCCCATTGTTAATGATGTTTTGCACGTGTTGGTTTAGCTGGATCCATGTAAATGGAACAACCACATGGTCACGCGTTTGTAAAACAAACACTATGAAATACATTTTGAGGTTAGGTTGAATTGCTGGAAAAAAAATGAAAAAATATTAATACATGATGTTCAAAATTTCTATATATTTAAACAGTTTGCGAAAATAGAGTTTTAAAATAAATAGATTGTAGTAGATATTTTTAGATTACTTACTGAAACACGTTTTAACTGGTGGCGCTATGGCTACTATTTGGGAGTAGGTTTTGCTTGAGGTTTTGGATTTCAAACAAAACGGTAGATGGTCGAGAACGCTCGATTTCCGTACTAGTTTCAGTTCTAATTTCAGGCTGTTTAGATTTTTGACTACACGAAACAATATGTTTATAATAATTACTTATTCTTCAACGCGCACGTAAACCGAATTTCACAAAGAGGGCACTTAACTGAACATTTCACTTTTTTATTGATGGTCGAAAAATTGTAAAAAAGTCCAATATCC